CGACACTAGGAGATACTTGTTTGTTAGACACCTGAAAGGGGTTTGCTATTTCATAGACATTAGGGCTGGAAAGGATCTCAGAAGATCATCGAGTCCAGCCCCCTGCTCCAGGGGAAGGAAGTCAGCTGGGGTCACAGGATCCCAGCAAGATAAACGTCCAATCATCTGTTAAAGGAGTTCAGAGTAGGTGCTTGCACCACATCTGGTGGCAGTCTGTTCCAGGCCTTGGGGGCTCGGACAGTAAAGAAATTCTTCCTTATGTCCAGTCTGAAACGGTCTTGTAGGAGTTTGTGACCGTTTGACCTTGCCATCCCTTGGGGCGCTCTGGTGATCAGGCGTTCCCCCAGATCCTGATGTACACCCCTTATATACTTATAGGCTACTACCAGGTTCCTCCTGAGCCTGTGCTTTTCCAGGCTGAAGAGTCCCATAGCTCTCAGCTTCTCATTACAAGGCCTGTTCTCCTGCCCTCTGATCATGCACGTGGCTCTCCTCTGGACTCTCTCAAGCTTCTCCACATAATTTTTGAATTGCGGAGCCCAGAATTGGATGCAGTACTCCAGCTGCGGCCTCACCAAGGCTGAGTACAGCAGGAGGATGACATCCTGGGATTTGCTAGAGCAGCATCTATGGATGCAAGCCAGAGTTTTGCTCACTTTGCCGATTTGATGCCCATTATGTCTGAATTATGTGGACTTGGATTTTTTTCCATGTATTTACTCAGAGCAATGGATTTTTCAGTAATCATCATCCAATATATTGTCTAGGTTGGTTTAAACATCAGAAGAAGCACGGATACACAAAGGTTTTCTTTTTTCACTAAAATGTTCTTACAAATTATGTGCATCTTACTGTGACATTGGTGGCATCAAATATTTAAACACCTGTATCAACATAAGTGATAATTATACCTTCCAGCAACCTGGTCATATTTAATAGAACCTGCCAGAGGTAAAAATACTGGAACAAAAGGCAACAGGAATTAATCTAATAAAAGCAGGTTACAAAAGAAGGAAGCTGGAATGGCAAAGAGTCCAAGGGGCTAACAAGTGAACGGGACTGGAACCCTTTTGTTTTCATTTACAGTTTAAAACAAAACAAAAAGTGATCAAATCTCACTACTGGAGTGTAAATTCAAACATGATGAACTTTGGACTTTTGGCTTTCCCTAGGCTAAATACCTACCTATTAGGCATGTCTTAATGAGATGCTAAATGCACAATAGACTAATTCTCCTGTGCATTAGCATCACAAAAAAGTGTATGCCAGTACTACTGTGCAGTAGCGCTGATTATGGCCTGTTATTACAGGTAGTAAACTTAATGCGTCGTAATTATGGCACAGTAATGAATGCGCCCATTGACTTGGATGTGTGAAGGGTCTGAGAACTCATTAGAATTTATTAGAATACCTGGGTCCTTTAAAGGGGAATCAAAGGGTTTTCCCACTTGCCCAGTCCTGAGCAATTATTGGCATACCTTTGCAAGAACAGCTGTTGTATAGTGCCCTTTCCTCTAGCAAGTGAAATAGAAACCTATGGGCACTTGAAATTAAGGTCTATTTGAAATCTCTGGGTTTATCTTTTGAATCATGGTTTTCCATTTTATTTTCAGTTCCCTTAATGATCCCCAACATTTTGTTGGCTGTTTTTGGTCGCAGCTGCACATTGAGCTGATGTTTTTAGAGAACTGTCTACAGTGATTCCAAGGTCTGTTTCCTGCATCATAACAACTAGTTTAGTACCCAGCATTGTGTACATACAGTTGAGGTTATTTTTCCCAACATACAGTACCTTGCACTTGTCAAAATTCATCTGCCATTTTTTTTTTTTTCTTCACTCACTCAGCTTGGTGAGATCTCTCAGTCAGCTTAGGACTGTTCAGTCACTGGACTAACTTGGTGTCATTTACAAACTTGAAGCATCTTATATACTGCATCTTATACACCCTCATTTTCACATCATTGATGAAAATGTTGAACAAAATTGGGCCTAGCAAAGAGCCCTGTGGGACCCCACTTTTAACATTCCTCCATCCTGAAAAATGACCATTTAATTCTACCCTGCGCTTCCTATCTTTTAACCAGCTCTCTGCTGCAAAAGAACCTTCTCTCAAATCCTGTGGCAATGCAGTTAAAAAAAAAAAGCCTTTGGTGGGGGACTTTGTTGAATGCTTTTTGAAAGTTCGAATATATTACGTCAACTGGGTTCCTGTTGTCTACATGCTTGTTAACTCCCTCAAAGAACTCCAGCAGATTGGTAAAGCAAGATTTCCCTTTAAAAATTCGATGTTGACTCTTCCCTGGCAGATCATATCTGTCCATTATCATGACTAATGGTGGCTTGAGCAAAACATTTGTCGTTCCTAAAAGCTTTCAAATATGTGACACTTCATATGAGAAAACAGTAACAAATAAAGGGACAAGTGCTACCTCCCTCAGTGCAGCTCCTTAGTACCTCAGGACCAGAAAAGTCTTTAAGCAATTCAAGGACAAGTTTGTAAATGTGAAGACGAGTGGTACATAGGAAAACAATGGGTACAGGAGTCCTAGAGAAAACAATGGGTACAGGACGCCTAGGGTATAGTGTGAATAGCAGTCCTTTATGCATATCACTTGACTAAGGGAAAAATTCAAAACGAGCTAATAAGAAAATCATTTGAGATCTTGAATACTGACTTAGAAACAGCCAAGATTAGTGCGCGAGGAAGGTGCAGCTCCTGCTAAGCTCCTTTCGTCATGGGAGAAGGAATGAAACAGCTTTTAACCTTGGCTGTGTAGTCTCACTGTGTAATTCTCTCAACCCTGGAGCTGCCAGGGGAACATTTTAAATCAGCTTTTCTTCTCCATGATTCCCTCTATGAAGTCCTTGAATGGATTTCCATGGATGGAACTGAGAGAAGAATTGGCACGACTTTTGTTTTGGCACTATACACAAGCATTTTTCTGTTCTTACATTCTGCTTTCAGGAGGAAACCATGCTGTTGTTGAACTAAAAATGCAGCAGTGGGGTTTCTACCAGAACGAGGAGGTCAAAGCTTGTCAGTTAAGGTCAAAGCGGTGACAGCACAGGGCAGGGGCAGAGCTGCGATACTCCCTCCACATGCCCCTGCCCACAGAACCAAGGCTGTGTCCCAGCCCTGTGCTGTCACAGCCCTGCAATCCCGGGGTCTCTATGGAGAACAGCAGGGAGCCAGGCGGGCAGGGTGTGTGGTTGAGCGGGGAGCTAGCTGGGGCCAGGATCTTGGGGTGGTGACAGCATGGGGCCAGGGCAGAGCCATGATCCAGATGCCCATGGAACCTGTGCTTGTTGCAGGGGTGCGTGGGCAGCGGATCACAGCTCTGCCCTGGCTCCAGCCCCATGCTGTCACTGCTGGGAGATCCCAGGGTCTCCCTGGATCCACCCACACATCTCACTCCTGGCTGCAGCCCCATCCTAGCTGCCAGGTTGTGCGCCCTGCTCACACAGGTCCCACCCCCAATGGTGGGTGCGGGGTGGATGGCTGGGGATGCCAGGAAATGGAGTCCTCTGTGGGCCATACTTGGCCCACCCCTGATCTAGCTAGATGAGACAGAATGCAAAAGGGACCCTCCAAGACTGCATGAGGGTCAGAGCTGCTCAGTGTTGAGAAAAAAAATGTTGATCCAGTCTCCCAAATCTTTACTTATGTAACCCTTCTGCTGAGCACCTGTCAGCAGCAACAAGGGCCGGGTTCAAGTTTGGGGCACTAACTATATTTTACCTTGGCTCAAGCCCCCACTCAGTGCACCTGGGAAAGACTAGAAAAATCACTAGGGTGTCCTACAAAACCAACCACCCTTCCCTTGCAAGCGGTATGAACAGAAACCCCTGATTTATTACAGAGACAAACACCCACACACAACAGATGGCCAAGCAAAACAAACAAACAAAAAAGAAACACTATCCCAGTTCAAAGTATAACCTGTATCACCCGTACCCCTTTTGGGGAGCCTTCAACCCCAGGCTCAGCACTCCGAGAGTGGGGGAGTCTCAACCCAAAAGAGGTTAGTCCCTGGGGATTTGGGTGTGTTGTCTCCCTCATCATCACTGTCTGCTGGGGGTGCCTGTTCCCTCTGCGTTGTGAAGGGCCCTTTGGTGAGTTGATGGAGATCTGCTGAGCTGCTGGGGAGCGCAGACCTCTGCTCCCACCCTGGATTCCTGTTGATGTGACTCCGCCAAGCTGCTACGAAGCGCTGATCTCGGCTCCTGCCTGAGTAGCTGTGGGGGTGAGCTACCAGCTCCTGCCCTGGACTCCCAGTCCACACCCCACAGGGCTACTGGACTTGGAAAACCTTGGCTGTCTGTATCACCTGGCCTCAGGCTCCAGCCAGGATTCCAGCATTCCCCCTTCCCTCTCCAGGGGACATTCCTGCTCCCCTCTCCAGGGGACCCAGGGGAAAAAAAACAAAGAAAGAGCCCCCCAGCCCAGGTGGCCTCAACCTTAAATAACTTTTCTGACCTCATCCAGGGCCCCAGCCAAAACCCAGCCTCATTGGAACGCTGAATTCATTGGTCTGTGTTAACATAGGGGGTTGGCGCTCTAGGATTTGTCCAGTCACTCAACTGGCTCTGCAGGTTCTTAAGGAATCTTAAAACGTAGAAGGACAGTTCCCAGAATACCTAGAACAGCACGTGCGTAACTGGGAGCTGAGTTGGTGGTTTTGCTTTGCTCTGCTGGTGCCAGCAGGGGGAGGGTGATCACAGGCAGCAGGGAGCACAGAGGGTCAGGAATGAGGGGCACTGGCAGAGCTGGGGGGCAGGGGCTGTGGGTCGAGAGTGAGAGGCACCAGCATGGCTGGGAGGAAGCAGGGGGCTGCGGGTTGGGAGTAAGGGGCACCAGCAGGGCTGGGAGTGGGGAAGGGAGCTGCAGATCAGGAGTGAGGGGCGGGGGCGGGGTGGTGACTGTGAGTTGGGTATGCAGGGCACTGGCAGCACCAGGGGGCTGCAGGTCAGGAGTGAGGGACACCAGCACGGAGGGTGGGGGCAGGGTACTGCTTTTTGGGAGTGAGATGCACTGGCATGGCTGACATCAGTGGGTCAGGAGTGAGAGGCAGCAGCAAGGCTGGGGTGGGGGGGAGCTGTGGCTTGTCAGTGAGGGGCACCAGCATGTCACTTTCCCCCCTGCCATCATATTCCCCACCTCTCCTTCCCCCAACAGGTGTCCTATTTTTTGGACCTGGAAATATGGTAACCCTAATTAGGTAATGGTCTGAGGGCGGATGAGAGGTGGTCCTCCTCACTCCTAAAGGAGGGAAAATATACAACAATCACACAGAAAACATGATCATACTTTATAGACAAACAGGATACACAGTGACACGAAACACACTTAATACCACAAAATTACTTGTACATGTTGGGTGTGCTACACTTATATACCAGTCAAGTCATATCAATTTTTGTTTTCCAACCAGACAAACTCATTCCAATCAACACTCCAGGAGGCTGAGGAATTGGCTCCATAAACTCCATGAGAACAGAGAAGTGACAAATACACCATCTAAAAAATGTCAGATGTGGATTCTGTCATATCTTCCTTTGGCATGCAGTCTCCCTCTGATTGCCACTTGGTGCCCTCCAGGAGACAGGTCAGTTGTCTCTTGGCACTGCTACTGCAATATTGTCTCCCCATACTGTGCTGAACCCAACCCCAACAGTTCTGCTTCTTTCATGGAATTGCTATACTGCATGTCAGTGAAATCTGGGATGGTACAACCTAAAGTGTTGTGTGGTTGCAGGCTCAACTTGGTGAGGGTGCACCTAGTGACCAGAAGAAGCCATGCACACAGTGCCAGCTGGAGCAAACAACAGCCAGGGAAGAATGGGGGGAAGGTAATAAGATGGCTGAGCCGGTCAGCCCAGTTGTTCTATCTGGTGTTCTTAGCTGCAGAGAGGCAGAGAACACAAAAAAGAGAGGTAATTTGACTCCATCTCCAGTTATATGTTCTGACAATCTCTACTGAGCAGGACTGCTTGAACAGGGGAGTACATCAAAGGCTCGGTGAACAACTGTTCTCACCAGGGCACCCTTGGGGAAAACCAGGAGTAATGGCCACAAACTCCTGGAAGATCAATTCAGGCTCAACACTAGGACAAACTTTGTCAGTCAGGGTGTCCAGACTGTGGAATAAGATTCCTCCAGATGTGGTGAAATTGCCTACTCTGGAGATCTTCAAGAGTAGACTGGATGGATCACCTTGCTAGGGTCACTTGACCCCAGTTGTCTTTCCTGCTTGGTGCAGGGGGCTGGACCCAATGATCTTCTGAGGTTCCTTCTGGCCTTACAATCTATGAATCTGTGAAACAGAGATATGGGCCAAGAATTCGTGCTCCCTGAAAATAAGGTTGGTAGATTGTATCAGGGTTCTAATTCAGGCCTGCCTATTGATAACCTCTCTGGAAATGATCAGATCTGAAGGACTCCTAGTCTTTTTTTTAATTCTTTTTTTTTTTTTTCTCTTCTTAGTTTCATTTACAGCTATAACTTTTACCTAGGGTAGAGAGGAGGGATCTTGCCTGCATGTCCCCCAAATGACAGCTGTGCTTCTGAAAAGCAAATAACCTGCCAAAGGTAAGCTCCTATAATCCTGAATCCCAGAATGCAGTTGCTAGGGTAGGGTTTCCTCTGAACTAACATGTCTATTTGTAGAAATTAAAAGATGGTCACGTGAAAACATCTAAAGAAATGATTTTGGTAAAAGAATTAATGGGAATGAGACTCTTGCCTTAAATGCTCTCACAAGCAGAGTTCCTGTCAGACTGAACAGAGGGTTGAGAGATGCATACAGAAAAATAGTCTAAATTCTAACTGGCATGACTGAGCACTAGGTGGAACTGTAAGGCTGGCCTGAAGAAAGATGCTCTCTGCATTGTCCTGTTGCACTAAGTTCTTTTAGGACAGGGTTTCTACTCATTTGGCCCTATTAACCAAGATGGGAGGTAGGGGTCTATTTCCCCTCCTCCCTTCAAGGCTTAGTTATCAGTGACCCTCAGAATCACTTCTGGGGGTAGGAGACATAAAACAAAGTGCAGCTCCAGGGATCAGTGCAGTAATGAAGCAAAAGTGAAAACTGAGCTACGCTAACAGTAGCAGCAGGTGCCTTGCATCATCAGTCATGATGTCACCATAGGAATTCCCTCACCTGGGCATCCCTCCTGGATCAAAAGCAAAATCTTAAGATGCCTCCCTCACTTTCACTTTCTGGTTTCTACTTCACATAGAAAAGGACAGTGTTGGGATTTTTGCTACACTAAAGCAAAACAGAATTCAGTTTAACTTTTCTGAACAGTATAAAAGCAAGAGATGGAGAAGGTAAGTTACACTCACAGGTCAGAGAGAGAAGGTGACCACAGGAGACAAAAAGAAACTAAAGCAATTCCTGGGCAAACATGCTGCAAGGTAAGAGGCACCTATTTGCATATGATATGAGTTTTATTTATTAGTCTAGGAAGGGCTATTCTAAGGAGGAAGATCTGAATATTAGCCTTTTCTCAAAGGGTCCTTCTTTTTTTTTTTTTTAACTTTTTTTAGTCTTACTGCTGGTTGAAAAAATTGGTGACTTGTAAAACATTATTAAAAAATCAAAGATCCCAGTTTGTGCTGCACTGGGGGTCGTGTGTGTGTGTGTGTGTGTGTGATATAAAATGACTACACACACAAATATTTGTATACGTATTTAATATACTTCCTATGCCTACTCTGACAGTGTCAAAGATCTAGTTATAATCCTTGTAATGAGGACATGGAATGATATGCATATTTGTCTTTCTGACTCAATTAGGAAACACTCAGAGCATCAGGCTGGGCCTGTTCTTTGTGATGACTGTATGCGCAGTGTTCACAGAAGCTTTTCCCAGAGGTCCTTTGAAGAAGCACTGCCACCTCACCAAGTACAGATCTTTGTCACCTTCAGAACTGAAAGCCATCAAGAACATCAAGGACAAATTTGTAAGTCTAAAGAAGATGCGTAAGGCAATAATGGCAGTGTGAGAAACAGCAGTGCTCAGCAGATCACTTTGAGAAAGTAAAATAATGAGTTTGGTGTTCTTGGGATGCATATAGGGTTGCATCTAAAAGATATACAGGCAGACTTCTCTATTTTGGTGATTTTTTTTCCTCACCCAATTCCAGGTAGTAAAGGCAAGATTCAAGAAGAACCTGTTCTTCTACCACATAGTTGTGAAATTCTATATTAGCTGCCTACTGCAGGCAGCTGCCCTGGGATTGCTTTATGTCTGTCTCTTCCGCGTCCCAGGATAGTACAAAACAGATGTGAATTACACTTGTATAAATGAGTTGTCCATCAAGGTCATAAAATGCCAAAAAGGCAGGAGAGAAAGAGACAGTCTAACTGGGTGTTTTTGACCCAAGTGGGTCAAAAAAGATTAAGGCCTAGGTAGCTGTGATTGGTTGATTTTTTTTTTTTTTAAACCATCCTTAATCTGAAATTTCAAGGAATTTTAAAGGTGTTTGGTGTGTCTTGGGTCACCATCAAATCTAATGACTAAGACCCAGTTTTGTACAACATGGAATTTTCTCTCTAGAGAATAAGGGGGTACAGTTAAGCCAAAAATCCTGTCATGATTTTGCAGCTTTGCAAACCTGAATGAGTTTATATGAGCCAAGTGAGGGAAGAGCTTGACACTTCCCTTCTACCTCATTTATACATTTTCTTGTATTCTTATTTGTGCCTGCAGGAGGAAACCATGCCGCAGCAAGGCCGAAAATGCACCAACATTTTCAATCGACCCTGGGAAGTTGCAGAGCTGTCGGTAAGAAAGAAGTTTGCCACTAATGATAAAATGACAAAATAACAGTCACGTTATTCCTAAATCATAACATTCCCCTTCTTGGGGTAGATTTGGGTCTTAGGTGATCCCTCTAAGCCTAGGATAACCTTATTGATAGTATAGTTACCTATTGACTTTTGTGTAAATTGAGAATATCAAATATCTGACCTCTTTTAGCAGTCTTTAGGGTTGGGATACCAGGCAGATCTTTAGGCTGTGGAACAGTTAAAAAAACACAGGTTAATGAAACTCGCAGTAAAACTGGAGTAGGAGGCAGAAAAATATATGCCCTGGTTGAAGATGTTATTAAATAATTAAGCCAATAAAAAATTTACACCTTCATATTAAAATGATTACTCTTTTTAATACCAAACAAGAAACTAACCTGGTTTTCAGCACTCAGCAAACTGGAGACATTGATACAGGCAACTCATTCAGACCTCTGTCTTAATCCTCAGTTTGCAGACTGAAGCTAATTTAACTTTCCTCTTCAAGGCAGCTCCAGGTTGCGTGTTAGAGTAATACTTTGTTTCTGTATTTTGGTTGCCCATGAGACAATATTTTAAGTATCTAGAGCTATTCCCAGGTCTGTATGCAGTAATCTGGAAGATCTGGAAACTAATTCCAAAATCAGTGGTTAAAAACTATTCCCCCAAGTAAATCTCCAGATTGTTTAGAATATTTTTATGTAACACTAAATGTTGCCAGACTCCAAGGAAAGAAAGGAAAGTGACTAAAGCAGCAAAGGAAATCCTGGTGTAAGCAATAAAGGACCTTTGGACTCTGTGTAGGGTGGAAATACACCTCTCTGATATCCTGGGTCCTGTCCCATTGGCCGTTCAGCGATAACCACTGTTTCTCCATGTTTTCCTGATTGCAAGTCACCAGTAATTTCTGTTTCCTTCATAAACAAGTCATGAAAGCCCTACGCAGCTTTGGAAAATCTGTTACGTAAGCAGGCCACTCCTACCGGCTGCTAGCTCAGGAATTCCCAGTCACCTCTCTGTTACTCCCCTGGATAGACTGTTTACCTTCATATTTTTCTTCCCAGGTACGGGATAGAGTGATCCTTGTACAGGCAGAGCTGGACTTCACCATTGACACGCTGAAGAATATTGAGGACCCCAGCCTATCTGAGCAGCTCCCAAGGCCTCTAGAGTTCCTGACACACATCAGGGAGGACTTAAAGAGCTGTGTAAGTATCGAATCCCCACAGCATGAGTCTATTGAATCCCCAACATTGTTGGTTTCTTAAGTGGATGCAGGACCTGTTATTCCATACCACAGATATGGAGCTTGGTTTTGCCTCATCTTTACTACAAAGAAGTGGCAAGATTTGGCAACTTTGTCTTGGTCATGTGCTTGATATACTTGGCTGCTTAACAACTTCTGGACAGATTCTGCTTGGCTGTGCATGTCAGAGTCCCAGACTACCTACCCAGATACAGCTGCATATTATGCACTGTCAAGCACAGGAACTTCTGTTGCCATATGCTTAGCTCTAGGAGGTATTCTGCTACCATTCCTCTCAAAGCTGCCTTGGCATTCCATTCCATTCCCTATGCAGGACTATGCCCACATAGGAAAGCTTCAAAACACTTTGGCAGGTGAAGAATGCTATATACATTATTGGTATGATTGATAAAACATGTCAGTTTAACACAGAATTCACAGAATTAAAGGCCTAGATAGTAGAGTCAAACCAAGATATGCTACTGGGCTTGCTCAGGGATAGTTAGTCTGAACCATATTTGCCTGACATAGGTAGTCAGATACTAATCTTTCTCCCTTATTGATTTTATTTGTAGACCTTTGATCACCATCACTCACACAAAAAATCTGAGAAGCTGAGCAGTTGGTTGCAAAAATTCCATGAGGCTAAGAGTAAGGTGAGTGCATCTGGCAAGCAAATTAGATGAACTTCACCAAATGTTAGAGGGAAGAAATGTGCATTGGGTCATCTGCTCCATACTTTTTCCCTGGGGCTAATGCTATACTCCAGGGCCTTCTACAATCTGGTACTGGGTGTTCCAGAATTGAAATATTCCAGAAAGTTGGCAAATCACTCAGATCAGGATGGGCCATTACCTTAGTTTTCAGACTGTAATAAACCAGTCATCCGGAACAGATTTTTGTACCTTGGCCTAGTTTGACCTCACTTGCAGGGTACAAACAATAGAATTTCAGTTCAGTCTGTGTGATCTCCCTACTGATTTGTACCTTGGCCCAAATCCACCTGCCTTGTAGGCAAGTAAAAGCACTTATATGGCTAAAGTTAACTCTGTAAATACCATTGCAGACCACTTTTAAGCAGATTTTGGATCCTGCTTTTCCCTGTATAACACACCGTGCCTTGTCCTTGTAAACATGCTTAGAAAGGCTATCCTGTGGCCACTGATGCTGTTTCAATTCTGTCCCATCTCTTCCAGTACCTCCCATCCACCCCCAGACAATCATGATTTGGCAACTGTTTGACAGAGGGAAATCCTGCCTTTTAGTTTGATAGCTTAATAGTTGGGGTACTTGTCCATGGAGTGGAAGACCCAGGTTCTGGGCCCCCTCAGCCAGAAGGGAGGTTGATACCTGAATCACGTACTTCCCAGTATATTGTCTTAACAACCAGGCCAGAGAGGCCAGGAGCACCCAGCACCCTTCTTGTTGAAGCTGGTTCACTGGGCATCCATTATGCAAGATATGTGGGGCCAGGTATAGAATGAGCTGATTGACCAGGTATAGGGTGTTGGTTTGAGCTGATTTTGTAACTTGCAAGATGGACATTGCCCAAGAAGGAATGGGACTCTGGATTTTCATCCTAGACATTTGACCTAATGACTATTAAAGGCAATATGTAGACATACTGACCATGTCCAGATGAGCGTGGACATGGGGTATGTAGTGCCACAGACTTGTCTATGCCATCATGCACTGCACATGCAGGTGTTCCCCATGATGCTACTTTGCAGTGCAGGGGGGTGGAGGTGAGAAGGGCATTCACCCCGGGAGCGCACGCAGCATAGTCATTCCCTGGGGACAAGTATTAGTAGCATAAAATGTGCCACTGCTACTTGTCCCTGGGGAAACACGTTCCTGCTCGGCTGGATGTGGCCACTATATGCAGCAAGAGCCAGCGTTCAGGATCCTTTCCCTTCTAGACAGTGTCCGTCTTCCTGTGCCACAAGGCCATGTGCTCTGCATGGAATTACAACATGGATTACATGGGAGTCTACATAAATGTTGATTGTTCCTAATTCCCTCTTCCTTCTCCTTGTGCAAGTTCTGTGCTCCTGTTTATTGGCACCATTCTCCTGCATCACATCCATGGTAGCTTTATTTTACCTTGCTGAATAGCAGCCATAGCCTGTTGCAAGTATGCTCAATCTTTCCCTTTCTCTTGTCATAGGAAACACGCGAGTGCCTGGAGGAATCTGTGATCCTCAGTATCTTCCGACTGCTGAACAAAGACTTGGCGTGTGCGGCTCTCAAGGATGACTGCATTGTGTCTCCTTAAGCATCTGCTCACACATTGGAAGTCCCACTGAATGACATCTCCAAATTCCTTGTTACAAAAGCCTATATTTTAACAACCGTTAAAATTGTATTTTCAACTGCAGTGCTCTTCTGCATTGACACTTTGACCTCAGATGCACAAGAAGCAACTTAATGATGATTTTTATGTAAGAAATTTGGGTACAACCAATCTTTGTGAAGAGACCTTACTTATTCAAGTTGCTTATTGCTGATGCATCTTTCAACCATTCTTGGTGATGGGGCAATTTCTTTCCAACACTTAAAGTTTAGGACCTGTTCATAATGAAATGAGAGATTCACCCAATGAAATTAATGGACAAAATTGGCTCCGGAGATTATCATCAACACCTTATTTATTTATTGCTGCATGAAAAAAATGTTTGTTATTATGCTATTTAAGAGTTTTCATTATTTATTTTAATTTAAAGATATTTTAACTTTTTTATTTGTATAAACTTGTATATTTTGTTAACATCTTAAGAAAATGTTTCAAAATGCAATAGGCTTTTGTGCTTGATGCACTGAAGGTATTGTTGATTTTGAAACATGGACTGATTTCTATGTTCTGTTTTGCTGGTTCTCAAAACAGTGAGTTGACTTATTTAAATTAATGTGACCAGGTTATTTATTATGAAAAAAAAATTTTGTATGTGCAGACTGGTGAAAGACTTGTTATATAATTCATGTGAAAAAAAGAAAATATAAAAATAAAAACTGAAATTAACTGACCTTCAGTGTCCTTACTGTAGTGATTTTTCTGATCGTACCACTTTTGAAAATACAGAATTTTAGAGGAGGTTGATTCATGAATTTTTGAACATTTTGGAGTTGGCAAAACTGCCTGTTTGCCTTTAATATATTTGGAATTATGTTCTTCAGAGTCCAATATTTCTGGCTTCTAACTGAAGAACTTCTTCATCACAAATATTATGATTAAAACTTCACTCTCATGTTATAGTTGGAGCCTCTTTCCCCCCCTCCCGCCCCCTTTGTTCTTTATTTTGGGTATAAAGTGATTTCAAGTGAAAAGTCAAGTGAATTCAAAAGGAACATAAAATGATACCATTCCGATTTATTTCACATTTAAGAGATGTAAATAATTCCCAGATGCAACAGAAATAATGCCTAGCTCTTTGCTTTTTAAATCCACAGATCTGAAACTGCTTCACAAAGGTCATTTTCCTATTTTTAAGTGGCTAAATAGAGAGGAGCTGTGATTTGCTCAGTTACCCAGCCAGCAACTGGCATGCCTGGGACTTGAACCCTGGCTTTTTGAGTCCCCAACATGCACCCATTCTTCTCTAGCAAAAACAACAAAATGCTGCTTCTCATACTGGCTCAGTGGCAGCAGTCAAGCACCATTCCCAGCCAGGTCTTCACAATGATTTTCATACCTAGGAAAAAAAGGTGAAGAATAATACATGTTACATTTTTAAACTCAAGTTAAAAGGTGGACATTTTACTCCAGAAGACTGGGTCACATGTGCTGTGGCAAGTCTAATATTTGCATTTTTCTCTGAGAAGCTTAACGATTTTGACACCAAATGTTGAACTTTTGTACGTGCCCCCAGACGCCTCTCCTCAAAACTGGAAGAGCATCTCCCCTGGAGATTTGAAGTCTTTAAAACAAGACAGTCAAATGTCCCATCTGTAGCTCCCCTCATCAACCTACCCCAGGAAGTGGGTACAGAAAAAGGGCTTCACTTGGCAGTAGGAAAGGAGGTCACAGCCCAGGGAGGGAACAGTCCCAAGTCCCCTGCATCGGGTGGTGACTTTGTGGTGCAGTAGCAGGCCCGCAAAGGGCAGAGAAGGACAATGGTGACTCTTGCTGCTCTTTTCCTTCTGCCCAGGGAGCCAACAAGCAGAGACCAGCAGAAGGACCTGGGACAGTTGGAACCAGTAGCCTGCAGGACAGTGGGGCTTGAAGGGGCAAAGAGGCAAGTTTTACTGGCCTGGGAGGGCACACAGGGTTAGAGGCATTTGTGAAGCCATGCAAGCAGGTTGTGGAGGGCCTTGCAGGGCAGTGTGCAAGTCAGAGCCACCCATGGGCAAGGGTCAAAGAGGCTGGGTGTATGGGATCCTAAGGGCAGTGAAGGGAGGCTGGAAACAGTAGGTTGTCAGGGGGTGGCAGACAGGGTGGGTAAGGGCCACGAGGGGATCTGGGGGTTGGATGGTCACCGAAGCAGGTATCTGGGGACCACGGGGTTGGAAGTGGTGGCCATCTTAGTTAAGGACAGACTCTGGGGAGGAGGATCATGGAGGGATTGGGGATGTCACAGGGATAGGGAAGTGCATGTGAAGCCTGGCCCCTGGAAGGGGAGAAGAATCTGGGTTGGAAGCCAGTGCCTTCTCCTGCAGTGGCAAAAACTGTTGCATAAGCCTGTAAGCGAGTTCAGGACCCCTCTGCACTGCATTCGTCCTCGTGCTGGGGTTGTGTTATTTTGGATTAGATGAGCCCAGTGCATGGGTCTTGCAGCTGGAGAGCTCGCTGCCTGGGGCCTATGGGGACAGTGGACCAGCGGTGGGTTTACTGCACTAAAAAGTAAAAGTCGGGGGGGGATTAAAAAAAGCAAAAGCAAGAGTAAAGAAGTCAGGCATGGCTCATTCTCGTTGTGCCGTTAGAACTTGCACTGAGCCATGGGCCATGCCATAGCCCCCAGGGGCTGCAGGGCTGCTGCTGCTGCTGCTGCAGTCACTGCCCGCTGGAAGGGTTATGGGACTCAGTCACGGTCTCCAGACTGGAGGAAACAAAAAGCATCTGAGAACAGTCCTTGCTTTTCCTACGTGGGGTTGTTCTAGAAGAGCCAGGTCTCTGGTAAGATTAAGCTTCATTTGGCATTAATTGGAAAGGGAGGTAGCTATTAGGCCTAGTGAAATGTGTTCTCAGCATCCTGCTTGCACAAATCAGAAATGTGAAGCATTTCTGTGAGGTTAAACAGAAAAAAGGTCTTTCCATGGCTGAATACAAGGCTCCTGTTCCATACACATGTCTCTGAAATGAGCAAACCCCTCTAGAGCACTACACTTAGCGTTTAAAGGTCATAGATATTGGGGTTTCTTTTGCTAGCAGTGAATCATTCAGTTGATGATTTTGTCTGTTTCTTTCTGAAAAACCAATACTGAAATGACTTAATGTTGCAACTGGAAAATGCTGAACAATCTTTTTTTCTTTTTTTAACTCAATGGCTTGCTGTTCAAGTAATTGATACATGACCTAAAAAGGGTTAGCTTCATAAGTCGTACAGTATAGACTCTGTCCCAATTGGATAAGCATAACTCAGAATCAGATTTTGTCTGCAAACGCTCCGAGAAATTAAGTTTACTGTTCACTAGTGGGTGTGTCTACATGAGAAGCTATGGCACAGTAGCAACAAGCTACTGTGCCATAAATCATTGGTACTGCATAGTAGCGTTGCTGGGCACTAACTGTGATACGTCGCTGCTGCACAGTAGTAACGAGCTACGGTGCAGTAGCTTCAGGAAAAAAACATGCAGCAACAGTAGTGTGCAGTAATGCCGGTTACTGCATAGTTGTTTAGTACTTGCTTATGCATAACCAAGTACTAAATGATTTCTGAGTAACAACTGCACAGTCCACCACATGTGTAGATGCAGCCACTCTTCACAAATTCTTGCGTGCGGTATTAATTCCCAATTGTGCAAATGGTCCTAGAAAATGAATGTAATGGAGTGTGAATCCAATGAATCAAAATGTACTTTAAATTCAATTCAGTAATCATAGAAAATATTTTCAAGTTGTTTTTAGGGCCCTATAACAAGTAATGTGATAAGCCAGCTTGTTTCTTGATTTCAAATGAGCCATGTTAAATTGATGCTGCATGTGCTAGAAAACCCAAAGGTACTTTGTAAATTATGAGGCAGCTTCTTGGTTTGGAGGCAGCATCCTTGCCTAGGCTGTTGAAAGTTTAGAGGTCTAGTGCTATGCCTCTATTTCAGCAGATGCGGACATTTGCATGCTGAAATTTTCGACTGAATAAACTGTGGAGCAAATTGTTCTTCAGTAAACTACTCCCAGGTGCGGTATCTACACGTGTGCTTGGGACAACAGCAAACTGAGCTGGGGAGGAGCAGTTTAGGCCAGGGCTGCTCCTGCCTTTCTGTATCCCCCTGCAGCAGCCAGAGGGAGCTCCAGGCTCCAGTCACAGCTGCCTGGATGCCAGCCCCAGGCTGGCAGGGAGCCTAGGGGTCAGTCCCAGGCTCTGGCTGTTGGTAGAAGTGTGACCCAGGGTCTGGGGGGCAGCCCAGGGCTGGCATGGGGAGTCAGGCCCAAGCAGCAGCTGGCTGCTTTGGGCAACGGAGGAGTTGGCTGGGCCACGATGCTCCTGCAGCTGCTGAGCCATGTGGATAGGCAGCAGACAGGAGCATGGCCCCCTGCTTGCTGGGCTGACTGGATGCAATTTACTCCTGGGTCAATGTCCACATGTGCATTGCTGCACAGTAAATAACTAGTACTAGGATAGTACTAGTATTTACAAGTACTATCCTGCTGTGGAGTTTATTAGTTTCCTGTGGCCTAATAGCCCTGCATGTGTAGATGCAAGATGTTTACTGCGGAGCTAATTAGGCAACTCCTCAGTAAATGTCTCATGTAGACATGCCCAGAGTGGACAAACAAGCAAGAATGAGTTCCTCTGGGGCTCATATTATTTTTGGATGTATAAGCAGGTACTTTGGATTATCTTTGGCTGTATAAGCAGGCCTTTCTAAAAGGCATTGGTGAAATTTCAGTGTTGTGTTCAAGTCTAGTCTCAACTTGAAAAGAGGAAGATTTGGGAAGGGTGCAGTAAAGAGCCACAAAACTGATTTGTGGGCAGGGGAAAACATGTTACACTGCAGGGGCAAGTAATTATTTTGGTTGGAGGACTGCTTACTGAGTTTTGGCAAGCCATCGAGGACCGCATGACAGGCAGCCAGGGGAAGATAAATATTAATTTTAAAAAAATTTTAGGGGCCCCACAGGCTGGATAGATGCTCACCACGCCACATTTTTCCCACACCTGTGTTACAGCATGAGCTCTGCAAATCATCTTTTCTGCTCATTTTATCAAGCAATGAGCTGATTACAGTAGATCAATATAGTTTCAGGTAAGAGTATTCTGGGTATGAGATAGGACTTTCAGCTTAGTGAGGAAAGGTATAACAAGAACTAGTGACTGGAAATGAAAGTCAGACAAAATCAAATACAGCATATTTGAAGAGAGTAAAGAGGGAGTAAGTTCATGATTTCAAATAAAGGGTGTGGTAGACTACAAAACATGGGGAGGAATATTACCTGTGACTGTGGATTTCAGCTTCTCAAACAGGATGAGTAAGAAAAAG